ACATTCTATATTAAATATAATTTTTAAAACAAGATTAGAGAAATGTGATTAACAAAAAAAATCAACCTTAACATTCCTTTTATTATTCATTGCATTATGTAGTTACATTAGACAAATGTGTTCAAACACCCCCAAATGACACTTGTTCAGATCTATTTTTGTGAAATTCATGTAAACTATATATATATATATATACATATAAACACATATGTACACATACACACATGTGAATATGTATGTATGCATATATACACATTAATGTATCTATGCATGTATATATACTGCTAGTCTTCAAAGAGCAATCCAAAAACACACATTTATATCAGAAAGAAAGTGGTTCTAAAATAAAAAAAAACTAAAACTTTTTTTCTCTTTAAGTCTCTAATTCAAAGTAACTACAACTTAAGCAATGTTAATATATTTTTATGAATTATTTCCTTACAAAGTAACATGACCATTAGTTTTAAAAAAAAAAAAGACTTTTAGATGAGTTTAGGGTTCAGCAAAATTGAGAGGAAAAAGGTAGCTTCCCATATATGATCCTGCCCACACAATATAAATACTTTGTAAATTATTTTTTAGCAACTTTATGGGGTACAGGCCAGAGGTGCAGGGGTAGTGAGAGGATTCACCAGAGACAGAGTGGGGAGCAGAACAGGTAGATCGACAAAGTACACTGCTGAGGGGAGCAGCGGGTGGGTCAGAAGAGGTCTGCCATGCCATGTGGGTCACCTGCAGGCAGGGATCAAACTCATGCTGAAGTGGCTTTAGCTTCTTTAGTGCTGTGTTTTAACCCGCTGCACCACCAGGGAGGGCCCTATGGGTACATATTTTTAAGCAAACATTTTATTTTGAGAACTTTCAAGCATAAGTGAAAGAAGAAAGTAATTCAGTCTACCGTACATTTGTTACCCAGTTGTTCATAGCCATCATGCATTTTCCTTAAACCCTCACACTTGCTTTCAGCTCACTAGATTATTTTGAATTATAAAAAGTATTAGCAATACTTCATCAACATCAGCAAATAGCAAATTATTTTCATAACTTTCTCAGTTCTCTCCAGCATGTTTTGACATTGTGCTTATTTCATCTCTATCTAACCAAGATCCATGAACAACTCTTTAAAAAAAGGTCTTTATATCTTTGCTCTCATCTTTCGTTTTTTTTCTCAGTTAATTTGTTGAAGAAACTAAGTTATTTGCCATGTAGATTTTACTAATCTGTCTAGATTTTTCTGATTGATTGTATTTTCTTGGAGTCATTTAACATGGTCTCTGTCAGTAATTTATATAATATGGTTACTAGATAGATACAAGAGCTTGTGCCATTCTTTTAAGATTATTTCATTGGTAATGTTAAGTAATTCCATGATGAAGCATATATTCTGTTTCTCTCTTTTTGTGATTTTAGAAGCTAATGATGATCATTGCCTAGATCCATTATCACATTAGGGGTTCACAAAAGGGTAATTTTGTAATTTCATCATTTGTATTTGATTAGCTAGATGAGACAGAGAGAAATTTTCCCTTATTATTTAGTGACTGAAATACACATAATACATGAAGGATAATCTTTTCTCTTATTTGCAGTTTTCATAATATAAATATTACTTCTTAAAGATGACCACTGAATTTTTTTTCTTGCTGGTAGTATTATGAACACATGAATATTGCTAGATTAAATGTGGCTGAAGTTAGTTCATATTTTGTTATTACTGATATTAAAATATCCCCATCTTTTCAAATAATCTACGCCAATAAGAGTATTTTCAACATGGTCCTTGCGTTTTTTGGCATAACCCCAGAAGTCTTTGAGCATTAATTTGTTTACGACATGGTAAGAATTTTGAGTAAGAATGATACTGATTACAAATGTCATAAACATCATTATTTTCACTGTCCCTTGACATATTTATAGACACCGATGTTATTAATAAGCATGGGATTACTTTAAAAGGTTAAGATTTAGTAAACTATTAAAAGAATACTATATTTTTTTAAACCATTCAAAATAAGTCTTCACTCTAACCCACCAATTCTGTATGGAATTAGCATCTTTCATTTCATCTGTATCTGGGATTTTCAAGAGTTGTATTTATTTAATTATGTTTATAAATATGAAAAACAACCACATGGTTTTAAAATTAAACCTGAACAAAGTATTTTCAGAAAAAAGTAATTTCTTTCCTCTCCTTTTGTTTATTTCTCTAAGAAGAAAAACATGTATTTGCCTGTATTAAAAACACACACATCTAACTAATTTCTACCCTTAGATAAATGGTAGCCTAAAGTGTACATTTTTTCTCACTTGGCCTTTCTAGCTACACTATAAACTGAGATAATCCCATAGCAATATAAAGTGATATATTTCAGTATTTTAGTGACACACAGTTTGAGGGTTGGATTTAGCATATAGTAGTCAATAAGTCTCCCCTTGATGAACATTGTTGTTTACTTTTTGATATTATAAGTTTTACAATGAACGTGGGTATGTGCATCAGTTATGTACAAATTTACTTCTATGATAGGCATCTAGAAATAGAATTTTGGAGTCAATTCAAAGAGAAAATAAATATGCAGTTTTGCTAGATATTGACAAACTACCTCCCACAGGTATTGTGCCACTTTACAAACATATCTAATGGCACAAGAAAAATTATATACATTTATAGAAAATGTAGCTAAGATGAAATATGATCTAATGTCATCACAAAGAATTATGTCAAATATGAACTGCATTTGATAGCAATTTGTTTATATAATAGTTCTGTCTTGATGGGATCTTCTGTCACACGATAATATTTGCTAAATCTAACAAATTAATGTCATACAATTTAAAATTATAAATATTCAAACACTCATTTCTGAAGAATACTGTTTTCATTAGAGACAACAAGAATTGAAATTAAATTTTTTTCACCATCTATATCTAATAGTAGACATCATAAAAACCATCTCAAAAAGTTACTCTCAAGACTTAGAGAATAATGACAATATTTTTAAATGTCCTTAAAAATACTTAAATTTGCTTCTTAATGGTGTCATAGAATGGGCTGATATTATATTACCCTGACTTAAAGATGCTGAGTGACTTGCAATGAGTTGATTGACAAAACCCAAAGTAATAGCCCTGAAGTCTTCTTAAACCACTGATCCTAAATCTGCTTTCCTTTATCAATGTAATCAGGGGAGAATTAATTTTAAAAGGTGGTAACTATTGATTACTTAATGGCAGAATAGAGTGGAGAAAAGCTGAAGTGAGCCATTCTGTGCCCTCATGGGCTCATGACCCATTATACAGTGGTGGAAATCATGCTGTAACCCTCATTACTATTTAATAGTCAGGAGCCTGGCTGTGTATAAGCTACAAAATTGCCCTAAGCTAAGGCTCCAGTAGGCCTCAAGAATGTTTGAAGCATATAAAAGAGTAATAGATTTCCCTACGTTCCAAAAGTTTATAAGCAGGGCAACAATAAACTCAATTCCCTCTTGTGATAGCTGGACAATGATATCCAGGTGGAAACATCTACTAGGCAAGCTGACATGATGAATGACTTGGGAAGTCACTCTAGGTTAGTAAGTCCTGCATGAGAACACTGTACTTTCCAGTGCCGTGTTCTCAATTTCAACCCCCCTCTTTCTCTCCTCCTGCCACAAGCTGAAAGGACTTGTTCAGCAGGGTGGCAAGGCAGCAAAGGTGTTAATTGTGTCTGACACAGCCATCATCTTTGCCGAGATGTTTTGTATCACATTGTCTGTCAAGCTCTCCCCTTGTCACGTGTCAGGATCTTTTTATTCAGCTCATTTAAAAAGGAAACAAGAAGTTTTAAGGATAGCTGGTGGGAAGGCATGAGTATGAGTGCTTCTAAGGACTAAGAATCTTTGAAGCTAACTTGAAACTAAAATAGGTTGTGACTTTTGACAGGACATAACAAGTTTTATAGGTTACTGACACCCATATATTTTTTTTCCAAATTACCAAGTTGTGTTTCTGTACCATTGCTGTCTTTTGAAAATGTAGTTTGAAATGAGGTAGTTCTTAATATAGAACAGATTTGAGGGACTTATGGGTTCATAAAAAAATATAGTATCAGATGGTCACCAATATAAACAATGTATAAATTTAAATAGAGGAAATATCGTTTTTTTGACTCAATGACTCTAAGGAATTTCAAAAATGTGTTTAGGAGAATCATGTACTTTGTAGCATACCAGGAATTATTTATAATTATTTGCCTGGAATGAATTACAGAAGAATAAAAGTTTAGCTAAGTAAGCAAAAGGTATCCAAGGGAATAAGCCTTCTACTATAGCTGAGTTTTTTTCCCAAAACTGGTGAATGAAATTGACCTAGAGGTCTCATTTAAATTTCATGTTAATATGGAAAAGTTCAATTTTACTCCCAACTTTATACTGTGCCTGACTAAATGCAGCTTTCAGTTTATTAATTCGCCTATGTAAATGCCTCCCTTTCTGACATTCAATGTAGAGTTTCAAATAATCGAGTTTTAGCAATGGAGAAATGCATTTTTATTCATATTTGTTCTTTATATGATCTTTATGACGCATAATAATGACTATAATCACATGCTTTTTTAATAGCGGATCTACCCACGTTTATTATTTGTCTCCTTTTGGTTGGTACATTTTTTTGTTTGCTTGATTGGTTAGTAATATATGCCATTCCCACATGGAAGTAGAAGATATAGTTTAGAACTCATAGATACTTCAGTTGCCATTCCTAAGATTAATATTAATATAAAATTTAAATAGATTTCTTCAAGGGGATTAACACTATAACACAAAACATACAGAGATATACTATCTACTGTAAAGATTATGATGTTAATAATAAGTTATATATTTGATGCCTTTAGATATTCCATCGAGAAGAGCTTTCTTAAGCCCATATTGTTAAGAAACTGATGCTTATTGAACCATAATCTATTTAGTTTGGTCAGTGAAAGTCACAAATCCTAAATTTCCTTTCCTACTTTATAGCGCAGCAGCAGTTTTGGGAATTTTGATCGCTTTCGGAATAATGCCATGTCAAAACCAGATGATTCACCCGAGGTTTGTATTTTATTCCATGTCTATGAACATTGTAAGAAATTATGAAAACAGTATTACTTTTGCAGAGTGTGTTAGGTTAAACAAGTATCTTATTAAAATGATAGCCTTGCATATAGTTTTTTTAATGCATACAGAATTGGGGTACAAGCCAGAGGTGCAGGGGCAGTGAGAAGATTCACCAGAGACAGAGTGGGGAGAAGAACAGACAGATTGACAGAGCAGTAGGCGGGTCAGAAGAGATCTGCCAGCCTTGTGGATCACCTCTGGGGCAGGGGATCCAATTGGCACTGAAGTAGCTGTGGTAAGCTTACAGTGCTGCATCCTAACCAGTTGCACCACCAGGGAGGGCCCTGCATATAGCTTTATAGTAAATAAATGGTTATTTAGTATTCAGTCATATGCTGGGCATGAAGAATAAAAAGTTATTTAAGTAAACTAACAGATGTTTAGGAAAGCAGAATGTGAAATTTTAAGAAAAAATTTATCATTTGAGGTAACATAGGCAACCCCAAATTTTCTGAGCATATCTACCATAAAACTATATATATATGTGTGTGTGTGTGTATGTATACACACATATATATATATGTATATATATATATATGTATAGAAATCCAAATTTATGAAAGTTGTTATTCCTTTAATTTAGGAAATATTAAGGCTTAATTGTAAGTTGTTAAGTTTGTACCATTGTTCATTTGTGCTTTCACATTTCACCTTATGCATTGAAATGTCTCATTGAAGACTATTACATATCCTTTGCAAGCACTGAACACTTCAAAAGTAGCTTATGTTTCCCATAAAATTAAGATTGTGTAACAATAACAACTACTACTACAACCACAACATTTAGCTGTGCACTTTCCATATAGTAAACGCAATGCTAAACACTTTGCCTACCTGCAATGGAGGAACTATTAGTATTCCTATTTTCCACTAAATAGATTTAGTAGAATTATTTCTAAATTATGACAAAGGTAGAATTCTACATCTTGTCTGAACACAAAGTTTGCCATTATATTATGGTATGTCATAAACCACAGGACAAATGTTCAAATAATTGGTTGAAGAACTAATAATTAATAAAACAGTAGAGAGAAGGAATATATTGATAAAATTAAAAACTCAGGTTTATGGTGAATCTGATTCAGCAATTTCACACATTATGTTGTTTTAATCCTATGCACATTTTTAGTCACTCTAATTGTTCTTTTTTTTTTTTAAGATTTTCTTTATTCGTACAGAACTGGGGTACAGGCCAGAGATGTGGAGGGTCAGAGGATTCACCAGAGACAGAGCAGGGTGCAGAACAGGCAGATCCACGAAGTACACTGCTGAGGGGAGCAGCGGGCGGGTCAGGAGAGGTCTGCTTTGCCATGTGGTCACCTCTGGGGCAGGCGGGAATCGAACTCAGGCGGAAGTGGCTTTAGCTTCTTTGTGCTGCGCTTTAACCTGCTGCGCCACCAGGTTGTGTCCTTTTTAATTTTATAAGGAATTAGTTCCTTAATTGTATCTAAATTTTCAAAATATTTTCCAAATTCTTATATTAATCTGTAATATAACCTCCTTTTATCCATCTATGTATTTTATATACAAGTTTACAAGTAACTTGTATACATCTATATGATTTATCTGAATTTACATAATTAAATATGTATATATGTATATAAAGTGAAAAGGCCTATAAAACTCAGTTGTCAGTTAGCATAACTGTGTATACTTACATGCTACTGCTATTTAGATTACAATTCTAGTACTAACCTATAAAAATAGGTCAGACTCATTCAGAGTCTTTGATTAGTAATGGTGGCCTAGTAATTTACAAAAAATAAAATAGTGAATCTGATTAATAAGTCAACATGTATTTCAGTAATCCAGAATTCATTCATTCATTCAACAAATATTTCTTGAGTACCTTCTCTAAGAGAAGTTTTCCTTAGATACTTAAAGTACTGTTACAATAGCATGAAAATCCTTAGTTCATAGAGCCAAGAATCTAGGAAAGAAGACATATTTTTAAAAAGCAGTAAGATAACAAAAATGCTTACAAGTAAATATCTAAATAAAATGTGACTCAGACTATGAAAGAGAATAGCCTAGAACAAAAAAATATTCTAAGATAGTTTATTTGAAATTCCTATAAAGATTAATAGAAAAACTTAAGCTTAAAGATGTTTGTGATAACTTTTTGATGCTTAAGCAATGGTAAATTAATACAGGTAGAAATAAGATAAGTTCTTATTTATTTTAGCTTGTAAGTTTATGAAGAATATCAGAGAAATTTCAGTACAGAAAAGAGGGAAGAAAATAGTTAAGTCTGAAATTTAATGTATCTCCAGATTATATTTTATTCAGGACTTTTAAGGAACCTTTGCCTCTATCACTTTGAATGCAGAAATTATTAAAAGTGCAATGAGATCCCTCCCTGGTTGTGCAGCAGGTTGGAGCGCTGCACTGTGAAGCTAAGCCAAGCCTAGGAAGTGATCCACATGGTGCAGCAGACTTCCGTCTCACCCACTGCTCCCCTCAGCAGGGTATTTTGTCGATCTGCCTGTTTTGCTCTCCACTCTGTCTCTAGTGAATCCTCTCACCGTACCTGAACCTCTGGCCATCCCTGTACCTATGGCCTATACCCCATTTCTGGATGCATAAATAAATAAAATCTTTTTTTAAAAAAAGTGCAATGAAACCTTAAATTGGCTATCCATGCAAATTTATCATATGCAATTTGGGATAAGATATGTAACAAAACATACTACTAATTAATAATGATGTTAACTGTGATTAAACCAACACACTAAAATATTGAAGTCCACTAAAGAGAGCTTCCCATTATTCTTCAAATTCAGAGAATGGCTGAAAATGCATCATTCAGGAAAATATGAGATATAAAGGTATAATCCAAGTTTCATCTCCAAGAAAGAAAAATTACTCCAAATTTCCACATGAAAAGTTTTGTTTATTCAAAAAATATTGAGTGCCAGTTATGTCTTTGGAAGTATTCTGAACCAAAATAATAGATAAAGTTTCTAGTCTCCAGGTGAATACATCATCATGGGAGGTGCAAGCTCTACTAATAAAACAGACAAATATATTAAATAACAAATCACAGGTAGTATGAACAAGTTGAGTGGTCAGTCAGAAAATGTGTTTCCTATACTTGGAAGTGAGTAGTCACCTGATAAATGAAGGAAGACATCTGTAGCTATCCAGGGGAATCTAATGACCAAAATAAATAAATACAAGCTTTGTTTGGAACTTGGTAGTGAAACAAGATATCCAGTAAAAAGTACCGTTGTGTTCAAACTAGGCTTTATTAAAACACAACTTTCCCCAAATGATGTTGATTCTGTTGGTTTGGGGACATTTTGAGAACTATCGTGAGAGTGGTAGGAGTTCTGAGAAGTAGGGAGGGGTGAGGTGGTGTTTGTTATTTCACATGTACTCTGTATATTATAATATAGGTTACGTTATAATACATATTAATTATCATGTTATATTATTTTAGGTTATGTTATAGAACTTTTGGTTATGAACTTGATATTAACTTTAGATAAATGGGAAATCACTGGTTTAGCAAGATTGTTAATAAGCACAAGTTAGAAACAGTCCAAATAAGAGATTTGATTAGTATAGTATACAAATTAAATGAAGATATCTGTACTAATGACTGGAACAAGTTATTCATATTTATTTTGAGATATGGCAAATGTGATGTGTACTCACCTGCAAGATAAAAAAATCTTGGTGGATTTAATTAATTATACAACTTCTTTAAAAATATCCATAATCTCATTTTCTCAATGCCCATACAGAATTACAGAGAAACCTCTCTCAGCTAAGTCAATCCAGTCACACATCACACCTAGTATTTAAATCTGTGTTGAGCATTTCAAAACCAGGAAAGACTAAAGTGGCTCATCGATACTGGTATTAAAAAGTAGTTGAAATTCTTTAAAAATTTTCACGTTCCACAAAATTGTGGTTTTACTTTCTGATTTTGTAGCACAGGTAACTGGCCTGTGAGAACTTTAACAATATATTTTTAAAAATATGTATTACATGGAGACTTTTTGATTATTTTGGAAGGTATGCAGAATGTTTAAGAAGTCTACAAGTATGGTACCTTCTCTCCAACAATGGTTTCGATTAAAGTTTTTCATAGTTTTATTATTTTGTCTTTTATAAATAATTCTGACTAGGCACATGAAGGGGATCCCATAAATGAAAGTGGAGAACAAGATAAAGCTTCAAATAATGCACGTTTAGGTAAAAAAATGAGAGCCATCTCCTGGACAATGAAGAAAAAAGTTGGTAAAAAGTACATCAAAGCCCTTTCTGAAGAAAAGGTAAGGTGCTCGATTAATCACTTGTATTCCTGATATAGTGACACTATATAAAATATCAGTATTTTATAATAGATTTTCTATCCCCATATTGCAGCGTGAAATAAATGCATAGAAGTCTTCCAAAAACTCAGCACTTTAACAGATACCTGGGAGTATAATTGCTGGGTCATTTGTAGATCTATTTTGAATACTTTGAGAAATCTCCATACTATTTTCCACAGGGGAAAAAATGATCATCATTCCTACCAACAGTGTCCAGAGGACTCCTTTCCTCCACATGCTCACTAACGCTTGTTTCTGGGCTCACACATGTGAGGTGTTCTTTCATTGTGGGTTTAATTTGTATTTCCTAATGGCAAGTGATGATTAGAATTTTTTTCTAATCTGCTGGTCCTGTATGTCTTCTTTGGAGAAGTGCCTATCCAGCACTTCATCATTCTCAGTGCTACAAAACTGAAAGCTTTTTCACTAAGCCCTGGTATAAGCAAAGGATGTCCACTCTCATCACTACTATTTAACATAATATTGTAAGTGCTAGCCAAAGATAGGTACAAGAAAGATAAAAAAAAAAAAGGGGTCCAAACTAGAGTCCAAACTGGGAAAGAAGTAGTTATCACTATTTGCAGATGAAAGAATAATATGCATAGAAGTTCCTAACAACTCCTCTATAACACTAACTGAAATAATAAATCAGTTCACTAACGTGGCAGGTTACAAAATCAGCATACAAAAAAATCAGTTGTTTTCCTATATGCAGACAATGAGCTAGAAGAGGAAGAAGTCCCACTTACAATTGCATTAAAAAGAATTAAATACTTAGCAGCAAAGAAAACAAGGGAGATGAAGAGCTGTTCAACAAAACTATAGTCCACTGCTTAAAAAAAAAAAAAAAAAACGAAGACAAACAAATATACAGAATATTTCTTGCAGATGGTTTGGAACAATTAACATTAAAATAGCCATCCTAACCATAGCAAAATACAGATACAATACAATCCCAGTCAAAGAAATAGAACTAACTACTGAAATGTACATGGGACCACAGGACTCCAAATAGCCAAAGCAATCCTCACTAAAAAGAGGAAGAGTGATGGTGTCACACTCCCATACTTCACATCCCACAGTAACCAAAAAAATATGGAACTGAAACAAAAACACCCAGCCAGACCAATGAAATAGAACTGAGGGTCCAGAAATAATCCCACATCTCTATGGGCAATTAATCCGCAGAAAAAAAGTCCCGAGTGTACAGTGGGGAAAGAAAAATCTCTTCAGTACATAGATTGGAAAACATCACCAGCCACATGCAAAAGATAGACTACTGTGTCACATAATATAAAACTATTGATATTAACTCGAAATGGATAAGAAATAGGATGTACAGCCTGCACTATACAGCATAGAGAAGAAAACTGGGGCATAACAATCCATGGCATACGTTTCAGTGATGAAGGCCACTCCATCTATCAGTAAATCACCACTCCCCACAGATGTAACCCCAGTAGCTAAAACTTTCTCATCATGAAGTTTTATTTCCTTCACTGCATTTATTATTCTCTGAAATTATCTTACACATTTTGTTTGCAATCACTTTTCCACTTTCTAAACAGTATACTACACACACACACACACACACCCTAGCACACTACAAAAGATCTCAGTTCTCAAAACACTGCCAAGTAGTAAGAATTTGTTCTATAAGCTTGGGTTGAGCAACTGAATGAATTTAAAAAAAAAAAAAAAGCAAAGAACCAAGCTTATTGTTATTCATATATCTATACATATATATCTAATATCTAATGTGTGTGTGTGTTCTGAAGTCCATCAATCCTTAGAAATGCTGAAACATCAGGAATATTGAATTACCTTTTGATAAATATTAAGAAATTCATAGATTTTTCCCAAACTCTCTAAATATGGAAATCATTTGAGATGTTTTCAAGCAGATGTAATTTGTTTTGAAATTGTCTGTCTTTTCTAATTTTATGCAAGATTTGCTTTTCACTTGACTAGGTGGCAAGCACGGTATGAGATTTGTAAAGCTTCTTAGATAAGCTTTGCTTTAGAATTGCAAAGTGTGCATGTTTTATTCATATCTAGTGATCTGGTAGGGTGCAAATAACTGACATGAGACAACTATTCAAGGTTTAAAGTTGTAACATCAGATGTCAAAGATTAGTAATGGTAGTAAGTAGATGATAAAAGAGGACATGGAAAAATAAAAATACTTTATCAGATAAAGCAGAGAGGTCCATAAATCCATAAATCTAGCATTTCTGATTAAATAGCCCTGATATTATATTCATCCTAATTTACAAAAAGGAACTATTACCATTTCAGCTGAATTCCATAATGTGGGGTGTTTTATCTAACGAATTATTCCAAGTACACTATAAAATGTTATTCTAGAATTGAGCTAAAGATGAATGACTCATATTTTATGCTGATGTATCCTTAAGTATTTTATTGCTAAAATATGTCTCGTTTATTAAATCAATGCACACAGTGAACATCTCCATGGAAATATGGTCTCTGCACTTAACTTTTAATTTGTTTTTCTGAAGGATGAGGAAGATGGAGAGAATGCCCTCCCCTCTAGGAACAGTGACCCCATGGTTGGAACCCACACAGAGAAGATGTCCCTCAAAGCCAGTGACTCCATGGATAGTCTCTACAGTGGGCAGAGCTCATCAAGTAAGGCCACAGATTAAGGGGCAAGATCCTAGACAAGAGGTCCAGGTTAATTGAACACAAAAGATTTGTTTTTCTGGGTCTTCATTAGCAAATTAGCATCTCTGAAAGAGAAATAAACAAAATGGAGTTTGTGTTGAAACCATAGAAATACTATTGTTTAAAATACATAATATATTTGAAAGACTTATTACTTTGAAACTTTTACCTAGCATTCTCAGAGTTACAATTTCTTAAATGATTTGAGGTTTGCACTAAACATAATCCTGTTCTCTGTTTCTTATTCTCCTCCTTTTTCCCTCTTTTCCTCCCTCCCTTCCTCTTTTCCTTTCTTTCCTTTACTCGCCTACCCTTTCTTATTTTTCCCTTTCTTCTCTTTTTTCCTTAAGTGTTCTGAAGAGAGCATGGCACCTCCATCAATTCTGACATTTACCATTAGGTCTCCATTCAGTATTAGTAAGTTAAAAGTGAAGTAGTCAAGGAGTATGTAAATACGAATATAGAGGTGACTATTAGGTGTCAAAAAGGAATGAACATGGAACAAGGATTTTCTAAAAATACTAACATTTTTTTCTAAAATGGTAGCCACACAGGCTTGTTTCTAATGTCCTGCTGCAGTATTTACATGGAACAACTGAGAGTTCCCCATCAGTGTGCCTCATAACTTCTGTATTTGCAGTTATATATTGCTCTAATTTTTCAGGACTTTCAAATGTTTCGTTTTTGTTTGTCTGTTTTGCAAAGTTGATTTTCCATTTCTTATTAAATTAACTTCTTTGGTTATTTGAAGATAGATTGCAAAGACCAGATGTTTCAAATATCCTGAATTTAATTTCCATTTTTCTATTGGCTATGGAACAGTTATTTTGTGAAAAAAAAATCTAATGCAGAAACATGTGAAGGATATATTTTTACATGTGTGAAATTCAGATTGCCTTAGTATTCATTTCTGTTGGAGGGTTTAAAATTCTAAATTATGATGCTGGAGAAAAATTGTATTAACTAGAATATACCATTAAAAAACAGGGACTGTGTCTTCCCTGGTGGCGCAATGAGTTAGGACGCAGCACTGCAAGCTAGTCTCAGCCACTTCAGTGCGAGCCCAATCCCTTCTCCGGAGGTGACCCACATGGCACAGCAGACCTCTCCTGACCTGCCCACCGCTCTCCACAGCAGTGTCTTTTGTCCATCTGCCTGTTCTGCTCCCCACTCTGTCTCTGGTGAAGCCTCTCACCACCCCTGCACCTCTGACCTGTACCCCAGCTCTGTATGCATAAATAAATAAATATTTAAAAATAAATTTTAAAATATCAGAAATAATGCTGGCAGCCAGCATTCAATAAATATTTTTAAAAATAATAATAAAAAAAATAAAAACAGGGACTCAGATGGTCATGGAAGGGAGGGTGCCAGAGGACAGTGGGCCATTTAGTTGTTATCAGATACAACTTAATTTCTGTGATTAGTGAAAGTTACCTTGCTTTTATACCAGTTCATATATAATAAGGATTATCTCTAGGGTTCTTTGTTTAATTTCCATAAATATTTGAATAAATGGTAGGGAAGCCAGTGGTGTTCCCTCAGCAAACTGAATACTGAAAGAACAGAATGAGAGAGAAAGGGAAATGACCTCTGAGAGCGGTGGGAAACTGAATATTACCTCCACTGGGAATCATTCTTGTCCTCAGACAGAAGCAAAAATGGAATCTCTTTCCTCTTTTTCCCTGGAGATTTGAAATCAGAAAGGGGAGGGCCAGAGAACAAAGATTTGGAGCAGTTTAAAAAGCCTAGTTTAGAAGAATTTTGCACTAGTTGGGAGTACAGACACTGGAATTCACTTCCCCCTTCCCATACACATTCACAACAAGCGAAAGTGCCACCTTTCATGCACAGGCGTGTTACCACAAAATGGCTTTTGGTACACAATAGGAAGTCTTGGAAAGCATTTTTGTTACGCAGTGATAAGATGAAGGGAATCTTGTAGTCCCATGCTTTGATTATTGTGATCAACAGCACATAATAATCAAAGAGTTGCTACTGGCTTCAGTCTTTGTCTACATGTACAAAGTTACCTAGTTTGTGTAGTGTGTGTGTGGGGAGGAGTTGCTAAGTATATACTGTGTGTCCCTTCAGGAGGTGTCCACAGCTCAGAATACCGTATGACATGATCTTGGATATCTGAGTTTGGGTTTGTGGCTAAGGAAAGAGTGGTAGATTCGTAGGATCAGAAATAACACAGAGGATGAGGCTCAGAGTGTTACTGGAAGACAGAAACAGGATGAGTCACCTGAAAGCCCCTCAGGAGGCTGCCATCAAATGCTTCAGCATTTTTGCTGCCTAGTTGTATCCAGACAATGTCAGAATGTTAGGAACCTTTGATGAAAACTGTTAACCTCTACTTTGCTCTCATCAGGTGGAATAACAAGCTGTTCAGATGGAACAAGTAACAGGGACAGCTTTCGACTGGATGAAGATAGCCCCTATTCTGGACCATTTTGTGGCCGGGCCAGAGTGCATACTGATTTCACCCCGAGTCCCTATGACACTGACTCCCTCAAAATCAAGGTGCTTCTTATTATTTCTACATTTTGTGTGGTTTATCAAGTGCTATATATATGTATGTATGTATGTATGTATATGTTCTTTTTTAGGAAGTATAAGCAGTGGGAACTGGGAACTGAGAGTATGTTCTTCCCAATAGTAGGTCTGGGGGCTGGATTATAGTGGCAAGAGGGGTGAGGTCATATAGGGGATCAGTCTGTTGCTACAACTTGCATGAGCTGCTGCTAGATCACACATAAAAGACTGACAGATAAAATATCTACATTTTTCTGAAAACCAAAAGCTTTGCAGATTTCCAGAGGTGGTGAAGTATGTATGGAACTTGGAGTAAAAATAATGAAGCCAAGAAGAGGGAAAGGTGAAGGTAGTAGACAAGTGCCAAACAGAGCAAAGGATATGGGAACCAGACTTGTCCTGGCAACTTCATAATGGATGCCATGAGTTACCAACCAGATTATCTTTCCAATAACGTTCTCTTCTGAAATTCCTCTTCTGTATTCATTTTCCATGCTACAAAACAAACTGCTACAAAATCAGGGGCTTCCAACAATACAAATTTATAATTATACTTCAATTGGTTTCTACTAAAGGCCTCACAAGGTGTCAGTCGGGCCTATGAGGTTATCTGAGGCTAAGTGTCCTTTAACAAAATGCTCTGGCTGATGGTAGAATTTAGTGCCTTATGGCTGTGGGACTGAAGTGCTATTTTTCTTGCTGGATATAAGCAGATCACCTTTCACTGATTCTTGAGACCAAGTTTGTTCCTTCAAGGCTTCCAAGAAAAAAGTTCACTCATGCTTCAAATCTCTTTATTTTTGATAATTCCTATGTAATCAAGTCAAAAACAACCAGATATCTCCCTTTTATTACAGAAACAACTAATTTGGGACATTAATTATATCTGCATAATTTGATCCAGATTTTGTTGTGGACCTCAAGTTTTATCTTCTCTAGAATAACAATTAAGTATAGTTTATACTTAGTAAAGACATATATCCATTATATATTTAGTGTGTGCATTTCATATTTTAGATGGATGCAATAGTTTAAATGGGTTTATTTTATATCATAAGTGCATTTTGCAGATGAACTAGAAGCAGGGGTAAAGGCACAGAATTCTTTCTTTTTGTCTTCCTCATTTTGATACCCCATCCAGAACTGATCACTTGAGCTTTGCTACAAATATGTTGCTTTGACAATATGAATGAAAAGATAATATTTTAAAGTTCAGAGAATTTAAACGAGTTCTGGTTTCACCATTACCTTACTGTGAGCTCTTGAAATGTCGTTTAATGTTTGCTTGTTTGTCCCTTTTTCTGTTAAGAGGTTTGCAACAGTCACAAATGTGTTTTGTAAATTACAATGCATTTTTACAAGTATAAATTGATGAGTTAATATGATCCCCCAAAATAAATGTCATCAAATGCACATACAAGTGATTCTTCATGCATGTTATTTTTATTTATTATTACTATCAAATACTTCCTTGAACTTAAATTTCCTCTTAGATTTATTTCAGTTATTTCTGAGCCCTTTAGCATAATCCCATCACTCTAATGGGATAATGCCATTCTCCTAATTTTCTGATTCCATTTTCTCTACCAACTGTTATAGTATCATTTTTCTCAGAAATCTGTTTTATATATTTCTTTGTCCTCAGAAGGGAGACATCATAGACATTATATGCAAAACACCAATGGGCATGTGGACCGGAATGTTGAACAATAAGGTGGGAAACTTCAAATTTATATATGTGGATGTCATCTCGGAAGAGGAAGTGGCCCCCAAGAAAATAAAGACACCACGAATGAGTGAAAAGGAAAAACCCAAGACTCTGCAAGAGTTCCTAGAGAGGATTCACCTTCAGGTTAGCAAGACTGTGGTCTGTTTGATTTTGGTGGCCTGTAGAGAGACTAGTTGAGGAAAGTAGATCAGTGCTTATATAGTATTGTATAAGAAACACAGCCCACATAGAAGGAAAATCTTTTTTCCAAGAACAGTTCTTATCCTACTTTATTTCTTTCATTATACAAAGACAAGTCATGCTATAACAAAGTTCTCTTGGACGAAGTTCTCACTTAAGCAGTGAGAGTAGATATTAATATTGAGAAAGTGCAGTGACAAATGAAAAAGGAGACTACAGGGCCCAAAGAAAACTTGTAAATGAGAATAATAAAAACAGTAGGAAGAGTAAAGGTAAATGTCCAGAATCACAGAGTAGATATTGAAAGGAAGTCAAGAGAAGAGAACTAAATACAACAGTTAAAAAGTAATTTGTTAGTAAACACTGATCATTAAGCCCCAATAATGCTGAGTTAAGGAAACCATGTTGCTTATATTTATAATCCAATTATTTTCTTGTTATATTAGCAAATTTTTTTAATGAAATATCTGTCTTGTTATCTGGAGTATTCATACTATACAACTAACCTCACTCAATTTACTGTTTGGAATCTAAACAGTAAAAATATTTCTAAAATTAACACAGCCTCAGCAGTACTTCAATAGTTCTCAATAATTCATCAAGACAACAGACAATTAAACTTTCCTTAATTATCTTTCCTGAATTATCTAGTTATATTCTTGTCTGGAGACACTATTGAAGCCCTCCCGTATTACTAGTGCTGCCCCGCAAATGGGGTAGTCCTTGGAGGAAGTATAAGTTTGAGACGTGCTCTTGTTTGCTTTATTACCTGTGAGAAAATCAGAATCTAAGGAAGTGAAATAACTTACTCAAGAATGCTTAGTTAGATGTTTATATGAGCGATGGGAACTTTGGTTTTCTGTTTTAATTCAGTACTCCTTCTAGGATATATTATTTTAAAAAGAAGTGCTACTCTGTCTCTTTCTCTTCATTGAAAGGGCTGGAAGTAATTCTTCCTGCTTATTTTTATATTTCCTCTTAGTCGAGTTTAGTATTTAAAATAAGGATATTGAAATTATGATCAAGTAAAATGGGAATATTTTTGAAAACTGAAATCATTCAACTTCACTTTACATTTTTATTGTTAGACCAAAGGTTACATAAAAATATATAGACTAAAATCTGAAGCTTGTGAATTTTAAATATATATTAAGGATCATGAGAGACAAAATGTGTTGATAAAAGGAAACATTTCTTTCAGTGTTTTTATACTTACCAAAGCTTTTAATTGAACAGAAAGGCAGAATTCCTTAGGCTTATATAATGCTTTGCAACCAAAATGCTATCTACATTTTGTTTAGAGTGTGTCTTTTTCAAATTAATTTTTTACCTACCCCAAGAAGTAAGTGAAGGTAGATGCTTTTGCAATCAAGCAAACAAGATGAGGTTCAGAAATATGACTATAATTACACTACTGGTGACATTTTATTGATAGATTTAAGGACATGCTAGCTTTGTCAATTTAGCTATCTGAGAAGTGAAAATGTGCCAAATGGGATGAATAATCAAGTTATTAAATTGATCCCTAATTTGCCATAGTACAACTTAAGGCAATTAGTTCTTTCTTACATTTGTCCTTCCAGAAGGTCAGGATTATACAACTGTCCTTTTAAATCAGTCCTAACGTTCACATGTGGAAACTAGTAGCAGTAAACTAAAGTGGAGACTTTTGGTTCTTGTGTGCATTTTCTCACTTTCTTTAAATCTAAAGAAAGCTAAAAATAAATTATTTGAATGTGAATACATTAGACATATTTTTTCTCCTCTGCAGGAATACACCTCAACACTTTTGCTCAATGGTTATGAGAGCCTAGAAGATTTAAAAGATATAAAAGAGAGTCATCTCATTGAATTAAACATTACAAACCCAGAAGACAGGATGAGGTTACTATCAGCTGTTGAAAATCTCCTTGATGAAGAAAGTAAGTGTGTACACTGACCCTTCTGACAATTATTACAGATTCATGTAAACTTACTGAAAACAAGGCCTCAGTTTTCCTTACTGAGAATCGTATGAAGTATTCCTTGCTTTGGAAACAACAAGGCTGATCAAATTGTAGATTTGACCTTTTTTCCTTACTGCACTCAAAAAATGAAAGGACTTTTCTGGGTAACGCATTTAGATTCTACAGAGCTATTAATTTACACCAAAGTGGATGCCTGCATTCCCCAAGACTGAGGGAGTTAGAGACAAATATTTAGTGACAGCATGAGTCATTAGTGAGAAATGTCATATGCGACTTCTGTAGAATAGCACAGAGCACAGCTCTGAGCTAATGAGCCTTTGCACCACAAAAGAAAATTTATTTCATTACCATATAGGCACATCTCGTACATGTTTATAGTATTCTCTCAAAATGTTATAATAGCTTGCAAAAATATTCAACATTCACTTTCATTATCGGAGATGGTTCTCTGTATTTGTAAGTATGAACTGCAGATGGAGTAAAACATGCAGATTCACTTATGGCAGAATACTGGGTATGCCAATATGTAAAGATAGAATAGTTTTTGTTTTTACAATTGCTTGATATGAGCACTCTTCTTTCTAAATCTGGTCAGGATTCCAAAACCCTACGTTCAGGGTATGCAAAACTCTGCAAGGAGAATTTTATGAGTTTAAGACAAAAAGGGAGGAAGACCTTATTTTAAAGATGAAAAAGAACTCAGATGATCTATTCCAACCTTCTCTTTCAAAAGTCATACTAATCAATGACACATTTTTTGATCATGCTCTCAAAATAAAACTTTGATCCAAGGTCTTTACATTTATTATCTTCTTTAGTGCTCTGTATAAATCTGAGTCTGATGATACTGTCCCCATTTTTATAATGACAAACTGAGTTGATGAGTAACTTGTATCCCGTGAATTGGAGAGCAAGGGCCAATGTTTGTGATGGTATGCTATCTTTCTAACACTACAAGCAACAGCCCAAGTGGAGAGAAAAGAGACTGATGGAATTTAGGGCAGAGGTCTCCTGACTGTCCCTTCATGGACTTCCCTATGTCCATCCCACAAAGTGGATACCATTACACAGCGCATGTTTATCAGACACTGACCTGTATCTAGTAAGAATTAATTTCCTTTTTCAAAAATTGCACCTCACTTTATTCTTACTTGCTGTCTCAATTTTGCAAAGATCTTCATTCTTTTCAAAGAACTGTCATGTTCATAACTAAATTGGTACCTGCATACCTGAGTTCACCCTTCAGTCTATGTGTTCATATGCATTCTTTGAAACTGTAGAGGCTAGAAGATGCAAAAAGAGGGAGGCAGTGTTACAGAGGCAAAGTTTAAACTAGCCAATTTACATAATAGTACTGGCCAAAACCAAATTGATCAGTGTAAACTAATGTAGAAACATCTTTCACATTAATGAGGCAGTTACTTTCACATCTGATCATTTCAAAACATGGCTCCTCACAGCAATGTTAACCGAACTATTAGATTCTGTAAATTTTTTTGTAACTTATAATTTTCAGTACCATTGCCAACACTCTCCAAAATAATTTCACACTAGTGGAGATAGAGAAGAGTGAGGTGTTCTTTTGTTGCTGTTGTTTTTTTCTTTTTGAACACTTGCAATTTACTTTTCTGAATAATACCATCATGTAGACATTTTGCCCATTTCATAGATTAAGACATATTTCAGTGATGAATTTCAAACAAGTCAAATAAGCAGCAAAACTGGATTCTTAATCAAAGATAGTCTGCTATAAAAGTTCACTCTTCCCCACAGGCAAACTGATAAAAATAAAAAAAGAAATTTGAAAATTGAAGTTTTTTACTGGCTTTATCAGTTCTCTTAAGTGTCAGTTCAGTTTTCCATTGCAGAAGGTGGAAGCTAGCATTTAAGTGAGACCAAAATCTTGCAACTCCATGACTCGCTAACAGGAGTGCATTGCAACAAGTTTTGTGAATAGAAGGAAGTCTAAGTAAATAGGTTTTCAGTTATAAAGCAGAGCTCAGCATGGACAGAGGGAAGATCTGTCCATTGCCTAAGGTTTGGACCATTTAAGATAGCCAATAAATTTCATGTCACCTCCCTCATCACCCATAACCTATGTTACAAAACAATAGTTCATAGACAATATCATATTAGGGTAGATGTATTTTTTTTTAAGATTTATTTGTTCATACAGAACTGGGGTACAGGCCAGAGGCTCAGGGGCAGTGAGAGGCTTCACCAGAGACAGAGTGGGGAGCAGAACAGGCCGATCGACGAAGTACACTGCTGAGGGGAGCAGCGGGCAGGTCAGGAGAGGTCTGCAGCACCATGTGGTCACCTCTGGGGCAGGCGGGAATCGAACTCATGCGGAAGTGGCTGTAGCTTCTCAGTGCTGTGCTTTAACCCGCTGCGCCACCAGGGAGGGCCGAGTTAGATGTAATTTTAAAAGATATCTGAACAAATTCTTCCATTCTTCCTTTGTAAGTTGGGGAACCTAAAACTAGAGTAGTTAAACGTCTTTCTTGAGGTCACATATTTAGAACTCAGGCTCCAAATTCTGTTAGAAGCTCATTTTACTGTACCCTGACTTCTGAAAACAAAATACTAATCTCCAAAGCATGATGTGACTTTCAATGTTTGATATAAAAAGTAAAATGAAAATCCTTCCCTTTATGAAACTTCAGAAAACAATACTTGAAGGTCACTAGAAGTTGATCATCTAGTAATAGCTGGTATAATGTACAAACATACAGACACCAGGCCAAATTATGGAAGATGAAAAATGGAAAAAAACACAGATTCAACCAGTGTTTGTTATCAACACACAACACAGAGATTTTTCTTATTTTAATCTTACGGTCTAAAGTAGCATTAGAATATACATGTCAAAAAGATGCATACTGCATGTTAGGCTTTTCTGACTGAAAGCTATTTATCTTATATGAAACTGCTTTGCTCAAGAAATAAAGAAGAATTACTTCTATTTGTTGATAAGATGGTGAGTTCTGATGATTCGGCACCATGCTGCTGCATGCTTATTTTTATCTAGTCTCTACTCTGTGAATCATATCTTCTACAACCCATGCTAAAGATTAAATGTACAACCTTCATGTACCCTGAATGATAAAGACCTTGAATATATGGTTATATAAAATTGAGACATTATTAAAAACAAATACATGGTATAGTGGTAGGTTAAAAATGGTTAGCTTTTTGTGTGAATATGTGGAATAAGGGGGGGGCGTGAAAATTGACCAGGATTTTAGGTATGCAATGTATTTTTAATAAATTTTAATAAAACATCAGTTTGGAAAATGTTAATAAATTTTAGAATTACATTGCCTTTTTGGTTAGGAACTTGGAAGTATAGTTGTGCTAATAATTCAAAATAAGCACCTGTTTATTTTAAATAAACTTTAAAATAATGGGTCAAAATACCCTAAGCCCCAAGGTAGCTTTAATAAATCTAGAAGCAGCAGGAAGATGGGGAATGAAACAGGAACAAAAACAGGAATCTATGATTTAGGGTAAACAATTTTGCTTTTTCTCTTAGGCTAAAATAGACAGAATTTTATCTACTTTGACCTTGAAAATGTAACCAGATTAAATGTTCTAGGTCACTGCTTGAAAAGAGGTAAAGACACCTCTCCAACAAGATGACAAAAGGGATGGCAAGTGGCTTTAGAGATGATCACAGGATTACTTCTGGAGGAGGAGGATGACTTTGGGGACCTGCAATCCCAACAAAACCAGTACAGAGATATTCTGAATTTGTCCCTGTGTTGCAATAGAACTCACTAGAATTAGGTCACTGGCTCCCTCATCTGGGAATCTAGATGAGGTTAGAAGGAAAGAAAAATTGGAGTGGAACTTGGCTCTTCAAGGAATAAAACTGCAAAATCTGTTTATTTGCACACTGGAATTTCTCTACCATCTGAATATAAAAATGGTTTATGTTGAGTAAATATTCCCAGCAAGTAAGAAAGAGACTAGAGAATGTTTATATGTGTGTGCCATAAATACAACCTTGAAGACCCCTTTGACTTGCTGAGAAATGCCTCTTTAGCATTAACCCCTGCCTAGCTTAAATACTTTCTTTATCTGCACTTGTTACATATTCTCTGCATTTAGAAGTACTTTTATGTGTCTTAAAATTACATCATTAAGAGTGTATACCAATGCCCTTGGAGAAAATGGAAATCTCTTGTTTTCCCAATAACACCGGGATAATTAAATTTTAAATTAAAAAATTAGTAACTCAATAAACAAACTGTGCCAGAATCTGTATATAATATTTTTTAAGTACCTGCCACCTTTGGTTGCAGTGCTCAAAGAGAAGGAAGAGGGGGAAGGAGAATTGTGTGTCAGGCTGTCTGCACCAGCTGTGGTCACAGCAGCCCTCATGGCTCAACTATGCCCAGTTGTGCCTCCCTGCCTGCCTCCCTGCCCAAAACGATGCAGGGCAAATGGCAAGGCCCAGCCAGGAGTCTGGAACACGAGCTGCCAGCAGGCAAGATTTGTAGTTATGCCAAGCAGCAGTCCAGCAGTTGGTCTGACAGTGTGCCAGAGTTGCCTGGTGCCCTCACCCCTAACATGCATTCCTGGTGTTTCCAATCCACTTGCCATATGATTTGAATGGAGATTCCAGAAATGCACAGCTCTTAAGGAAAGATAAGCTGAGCATCCACATCTTTAAAACAGAGACTGCACATAGACATTTTATGTATTTATAAGTACATATGTATTTCTAATCATAGTATTTTGTGCAATTTATTTTTTTCAGATATGTTTGCTTTATATGGAAATTTCAAGTTATGTCATATATAACTTCAACAAAAAAATACAATGAAATATAAATATGTTACTCCTCTGTTAGAGAACTCTCTCCTAGAAAAAGAGTTCAAAGACTTTTCACCTCAGTCACTGAAGAAACTTGCTCTATCTGCACATGTAGGGCTTATGTACCTGTTCTA